TTTCTATTAAGGAAAGCGAGTAGATTATTTCTATGAGAACCCTCGACTTCGATATTGAAATTGTATGGAGAGGAAAAAGCCGCAAAAGAATCTGCAATAATTATGCACCAACGGATTAATTACGGGAAAATCTCGCTGTGCACAGGTATCCATCTACTCACTTCAAGAGTCGGGAATGATTTACAACTGACTGACAAACAATATGTGCATCAATTCATATGATCAACACAAACAAGAGCTGGTTGCTGAATTAAGTGGAAATGACAGTGTTTGAGATAAGGTTGTCTGTGGTAGGCTACTCCAAGTAACAATGAATGTGGAACATCTTGTTTGAAAGATCTTCGAGTGCCGTTCTTTCGTTTCCGCGATCCCGTATAAACTGAAAACTTCCATCTGCGGAATTATTTATGTATCTTTATGATGCGACATGTACTCGACGATCTCGCTGCTTGTTTGTTGACTGCGTGTTACTTTTGAGAAAATCGTAAAAATTATGCCCATAGTTTCAGTTTTACCGATGGTGGTATTGATCCACTACCTTGCTCATACTCATTGAACGATATCATACGTGATGAGCAAGAATGCTGCAAAGCACTTCGACGTGAGACAAGGTCCTGAAATATCATTTGATCAGTTGAACATCTTTACATACACCCAGTTGGAAAAAAGATTGCCTAAAAAATTCAACTAGCTTCTGCAAGGGTCTATTTTCGCAACGTACCGTCGAAGTGAAGCCTCCGTCTACCTCCATGCACCTCAGAGTAGTGAGCCGTCACGCTGCTCAGCTCAGCTCGCATCATCACGATTGCTTCTTTACACCTTTCAACCAGTAAATACATCGAAACATGATAGAAGAGACATGATGAGCTTCTTTTTTATGCTGTCCATATGTACTAGGCCTTCCTTCCTTACTGTTCCGCATGGTTATATTATGTTGCAAACTGTTTGGGTACATCTCTACTGTCAGATAAGAAAGTAAATTTGTACCTACTTTGTAATAATACGGCTGACACCACCTTGGACTATATGCGTGGCGGAATCACGAGCACGTCAAGGAGGCAATCGACATTACAGATTTGCAGTTTGCTGCAAATAATCACAAATTGCGCATGTGGTAGTACTATCGGAGTCCTCGAGATGCGGGTAGGGGCATTGCCAAGTGCCAGATTTTCCATTCATTGATACTACAGGCAATTGTTTGGAGACAAAATGACGAACAATTCATTGAAAGCCTCACAGACATGCCATTCTACAGGGTGGGCCAAAATTATGATTACAGCGCGCGCTGACGTTCATTGCAATTTTTTTCTATGTTCATAACAATTCATTGAATTTCTTCCATTTCACAAAGTAGCTTACGTTATTACCTTTCTAATGATACT